CATCTTGGGCTATATGAGACCTTGTCTCTTATATGTATGTAAGAGACAGAAGCTAAGCACACGTCAGGAAGGCAGGTGTGCTTGCATGGGTACACAAACCACAAGGAGTTGCTGGCAGGTTCTGAAAGGAGAGCCATGGATTTTTTAAATATAGACTTTTATGATTTTAGCTTTCAGAATATTCCATCCAAATATGGAGAGATGAACTAGGGAGCGTGGGGTGTGTGTGTGTCTGTGTGTGTCTGTGTGTGTGTGTAAATGACTGCTAAAGTGCAGCATCATTTGAGTCCGCCTGTCAGCATCTCAGAAACGTCATCTATAACCTTCACTGTTTGCAGTTTAATCTCCCCTGCCTCCCCTCGGGCCCTGTTCTGACATTTTAAACCCCATAAATGACAGTAGTGCTCTAAGCCATTTTGAAAAAAGCCAAGCATTTGGAACACACACACACACACACACACACACACACACCTAAATCCCCCTTCTCTGGAACACATGTTCACTCTCAAGATCATAAATGGAATCACATGCATGCTCACACGTCTGTACTGGCCAATTTATAAGAAGTCAAAATTCCTGCTACTGGCCTAGAAATATGTGTAAGTGTGACAGCAAGACGAAAGTCACAGAAGCATGGGGTGTGTCTGGTGTCGGTGCAGGAACTCCAGAGGACACACAGCATCAGGACACCTTTCTGCTGTCACCTCCAGTCCTAACCTTTGCTCCTTGGCCTTGAGAGAAGAGGGAAGACTCTGGGGTCCTTGAAAGGCTAGTGGAGTTTGTAGTAAATGGAAGAGCAGCATGGTTTTATATTTTTAACCACTAAGCCATCTCTCTAAACCAGGGACTTATTTAAAAAATATTTTATCATGAGTTGGCGTAGTGGCATATGCTTTTAATACTAGCACTTGCGAGGCAGAAGTGGGTAAATCTCTGAGTTTGAAGACAGTTTGGACAGTGAGTTCTAGGACGGTGGGGGCTATGTAGAGAGACCTTGTCTCAAAATATTTTTTTTTAACTGCATGTCTTCATTTATGGGGATGGCATGTGTGCCATTTACACATGTCAGAGGACAGCTTGTGAGAGTTGGTTCCCTCCTTTAGAGGAAGAGCCCTGTCAGCTCATGAACATAGGAATCAACCGCTGGGCCGGGTCCAGGTTCTGTAACATAGCAAAGGTGGAGAAATGTTTGTTAAGTGAAGTATAGATGAGCCCTGGAGTAAGTGGTGAAGGGTGTGTGTGTGGGTGGGTGTGGGTGTGTATGTGGGTGGGTGTGGGTGTGGTGAGTTTATTTTTTCCCAATCTGCTTTTATACCATTTTAATTACATGCAAGCATTAAGGTCAGTTCTAGGTTGAGGAGATAGCAATACAATAGATGCAAATAGTCAAGGAACAAGCAAAGCAATAAACAAAGTCCTGTGATCACTCTCGTGATCAATCCCGTGATCACTGTTTCCAAGGGCTTATCAGGATGGTCAGAATATCTGAGCCTACTTCCCAGTCCTACCCCAAAGTCATATTCATGCCCGAAGCCTACTTCTTTGTTCTAGCCTAAGATTTAGATTCCTGACTGAAATTACTTCCCTGTTTTAGCCTAAAATTAGCTATTCCTGCCTGAACTTACTTCTTTGTCATGGCCCAATGTCAGATTCCTGCCTGTAGCCCATTTCCTTGTCCTTGGCCAATGTCAGATTCCTGCCTACGGGCCCCAAAAGCTCTCCATGTGTGTGTGCAGATGAGGGTGGATGGGAGATTGTTTGGTTAATGACAGTTCCTAGAAGAAGTTGCTTCTGACCTGGTACTGAAAGAAAGCCCTTATCACTGCTGATATCCACTTATTCCAGAGTAAGTGACTGATTTTCCTTCCTTCCTTCCCTCCTTCCTTCCTTCCTTTTTTTCCTCCTCCTCCTTCTTCTTTTTGCCTTAGACTCTGACTTTCCAATAAGATTTCCCTACTCAAAAACAAGATACCCTCAAAAAATGGCAGGCATGGTGATTTAGGACTACTTTTGTGAAGTCCTGTTTAAAAAAAATCCGGACCATCAATGCCCACAGCATTTTCCTGAGCTGGCCCCTCTTCCTCCATACCAAGGAGGAGAGCTTCCTGATAAAGCTGGCTCCTCCAGCTCTCCCACTACATCCAGTCATCCTGCACTTTAAGGAACTTGTTTCCAAGGCAACCAATTAGTGTCAGGAAGTGAGGGCTGTGACGTCAGAAGAGGGTGGGGGTAGGGTGAGAAACTCCATCCCCCAGCTCCCTGGCTCTGCTTAGCATCTGTAGATTTGCACAGAGAGCTCCAGAGCAACAGAACTAGGCCTTCGCCCTTCAGAGAACCATGGCTCCCAAAAGAGCCCAGGAGCAAGGCCTGGGACAGAGATCTGGCTTCACAGGTAGGGCCTCTACCAGCCTTTCATTCTAAGGGGCTGATAAGGTTGTGAAGCCAGGAGAAGACAGAAGACCAACAGTAACAAGGCCACTGCCAACCTCCTCCCTGTCTCCTGGGAGAAAAAGATCATAGAACTTTTTAATTTAATACTTTTAAAAATCTATCATTATTGTAAGGAAAGAGGCACGTACCATAGTGCTCCTTGGAGGTCAGAGGACACCTCATGGAGTCTGCTCCCTCTTTTCTACCTTTACAGGATGCTGGACAGCAAACTGAGGACACTGGGCAATAGCTTTTACCTGCTGAGCTATCTGACTGGCCTGTCATTTCAGGGTTCTGCAGACAAGGTGGAGGAGGAAATCATAGCTTAATCAGAGCTGTCCTCTCAGGCTTTCCTTGGGAACCTATTCATTTACCTTCAATGATGGAAGCTTTGGTCTGTATGAGGAAGTACATGCTTCGGAACCAGGGACACACCCACAGAGTGTGATGGGTATAGTCCGTTGATTCTTGGTTCAGTTGGGGAGGTGACTCAGTAAGTAGAGCACTTGCTTAGCATGCAGGATGGCCCGGCTTCAGTCTCCAGCACTGCATAAAACTGTTAAAACTTTGTGTGGTGGCTCACACGTGCAATCCCAGCCCTCAGGAGGTAGAAGTGTAAAGATAGGAAGTCAAAGTTATCCTTGGCTACATAGCAATTTCAAGGCCAGCCGGGGCTACATGAAACATCCCTTAAAAACCAAACTAAACTTGGGAGGCAGAGGCAGGCGGATTTCTGAGTTTGAGGCCAGCCTGGTCTACAGAGTGAGTTCCAGGACAGCCGGGGCTATACAGAGAAACCTTGCCTCGAAAAAAAACAAAAAGAAAAAGAAAAAAAAAAAAAACTAAACTAAAACTGAGTATGTGTATAACAGAACTACAGCAGTTTGAACCTGTGAGTCCTTGAGATCATGGCTGTCTTCCTGAATAACAAGTTTGGCAATTGGAAAGGTTATTCTGATAAAGAGACAAAGTGTAAAATATAAAGGACCTTGTCCTTAGGGTAAAGCAAGAAGGCTGGGTATTTATCTATATGCTGACCCCTGTTGTACCCGCTGAGTGGGGCCAGCCGTGAAGATGACAATCACAATGTCAGCCTTCGTGATCAAAGGCCGCAGATGCATCCCCAGGAACTATATTTTACACACTTTTATCCTGTGGTGGCCCCATTTAATACACAGGCTAAGAACTACTCTCAGGTTGGCTCTAGAAGCTGACTAATCTGGAGCATTCTGTGCAGGAATTGTACTATGCCGTGTGGAGGTAAAACTGGGAAGAAGGGACTGGAGAGATGTCTCAGCATTTAAGAGCGCCAGCTGCTCTCCCAGAAGACCTGGGTTTAATTCCCATCACCAACATAGAGGCTAACAGCCATCTGTAACTCCAGCTCAAGGGGACACAACACCCTCTTCTGACCCCAGTAGGCATGGATGTGGCACACAGGTAATATGGTACAGGCAAAACACCCATACATATAAGAGGATGATGGTGATGGTGATGGTGATGATGATGATGATGATAAAACTAGGAAGAAGCAGGGCTGGGAAGAGGGAAAGTTTAGCCTATGTTATGTCTTGGTCTCCAAAAAGGCCTTAGCCTATCACAAGAGCCAGGATGACCCTTTGGAATTGTCCTGACCTGGTGAGAAGTGTCAGGGGAAGTTGTACCGAGGAAGGGATGTGACCATAGGCAGACTGACAGTGACTGAGAAGGAAAGCTCAGTTGGATGTCACACGGAGACTTCTCAGCACATGGGAACCCTATTTCAGGTCTCTAGCACCCACCCCACACCCTAGCTCTGCTGGGCTCCAGGAGACCCCACATACACACACCGGAAAGTGGAGACTGTGACCTTAATGCCTCCCAACCCAGCCATAACCCTCACTGCGCTGGGTCCTAGAGAAGCCTTCCTGACATAATGTGTCAGACTGACCAAAAGAAAAGGAGGATTTGAGGGGATTATGCTGTCTGCTCCAGGCCTGGTCCCTGATCCCCCAAGGAAAGACTCAGAGAGTCTTTCAGGGGGGCTTCTGGAAAGAACCAGAGTGGTGATCAGGGGCTTAGCAACGGTCTTGTCCCTGGCCAACCCCAGGAGTGGCCAGCTGCTTCAGAAAGGCCTTGGCAGTAAGACCATGGCTGAGGGGTCAACAGAGGTAAGGGAGGGAGTGGACAGAAAGCCAAGTACCAGGGAGGGGCTGGATGGTCTGTCTCTCTCAGGACTAGCCAGTCCATGGCAATGATCTAGGGAAGAAGAAGCCTGGCTTCTTCAGAAGACTGCTGGTTCAGGGCCATCTAGATCCTACTAGAGTTGAGGAAGTCTGACGACTATAGCGCTGGGGTGACTTAATCAGATATGAGGAGAAAGTGGATGGAAGGGAATCCACTCCAGAAACACAGGAGGCCACGGCACAGGAACCCAATGAAAGCTTTGCAGTCTCTGCTGGAGACACCTAAGAGGGCATACCAGCTCCTGCCTAGAGGGACATGAGCTTTCTTATCCATTCCCGGGCGGGGTGAGAGTGAGTGACCCCCAGCACCCGGTCAGGAGAGCCTAGTCTCAGAAGGATTTTTGGTTTATTTTGGTTTTAGTTCCTCCGCCCTGCTTCTCCCCACAGACACATCCCTTCATGACCTTTGTGACTCTGTTAAGTCTCTTGGCTTTGGCTTCAAGAGAAAGCCAGGCAGGGGCGGGGTGGGCTGGAGACCCGGAGGGAGCGAGGCCGAGGCCGGCAAGAGGCTGAGAGGAGTCTGCAAGGTGCAAAGCAATCAGCGGAGCCGCTGGTGAGCGGGGTCACTCAGTAGTGTGCACATCAGGGTGAAATCCTTTCAGCTCTTCGCCAAACCCCTAGTGAAAGACAATCAGGCTCGCTGTCACCGAGCTAATTCTGTCTATATAAAAGCAGTAATGAAATTCACGGCAGGATTACCCTCTCCATCCAATGGGCCAGCGTCGTGGTGACATATCTCTCTTATTGCCCGAATGTAACACACCATCTAATTTACGTCGTGTAGCGAGCAGGAATGAAATGTTCATAAAGAATTGCTGCATCTCGTCACCTTAACTGCGGCCCGGGGCTCTGAGGCATCTGTCAGGGAGAGGAGCAGTTGCAGGAGGAGGGAGGGCGGGCGGGGCTCAGGGAGCTGCCGCCAGAGGCAGAGGCTTCTGTGGGGCGGTTGTTTCTTAATAGGGTGAAGTGGAGGCAGAGGGAAGCTGAGGTTGAAATGAGGGGTAGGTCAGGAGGAGAAAGGAGGGGTTCAGGAGCTTTGGGGAGATGAGGATAAATAGGGCCAGAATGGAGTGGCCTGTGGGGAGTGTTTGGAAGTCTGTGTAGGTCTGAGAGGTCAGAGAAGGAGAGGATGCGTGGTTGGATTTGGGTGAGTTGGGAGATGAATTTGAGTGGCTGAATGTCAAGGGGTTGCTTGTAGAGGAAATGACCTTCTCAGTGCCACCCAGGTTCAGCAGGGCTTCTGCTCATTTTTTTTTCATTCTCTGGAAATGGAAATCCACTCACCTCTGAAGGCATCAGAGCTGAATGCACCAGGCACGGAGAAGGAAGACCTTTCACAGAAGTCTTCAAGGAGCAGGTAGATGCTCAGAGCGAGTTTTACAAACCTAGGAGTCAGCCTGGGCAGTGGTAGCTCTGGGGAGGCAGAGGTGAATACCAGAGGTCCAGGCCAGCCAAGTCTACAGAGCAAGTTTCAGGATAGCCAGGGCTACACAGGGAAGACCTATCTTGAAAACCAACCAAACAAACAAACAAAAACAAAACTACAACAAAACCAGACCCAAGAGCCAGCTATGCTCCTCCCTCATCTCCACCTGTAATTGCAGGTCCAACTACCAGCGAACCTTCTCAGCTGACTGTAGAAAACGGTGTTCATCATTCTATTCTCCCACCCCACCCACCCCAAGGTCACTGCCATCTGTTGCCTGGAGAACTCAGTGCCACCATGTCTCTGAACTTAAAAGCACTGCAGTGCTTTAAAGTGTCCTCTCGCTCTTCTGAGACGACCAGAACTTACCTCTCCAGCCTCTTTGCTCGATGCTCCTGGTTACAAAGCACGTTCCCGCCATGTCCACCCTTCTGTGAGGTCTAAATGCTCCAAGCTGGAAGCAGCCTTTAGAGAAGACTTTCTCTAGCCATTGCAACAGAACCAGAACCAGCCTGGCCTTCACTCCAGCTCCTACTCCAGCTGTCTGCAGACGTGTTGCACCCTGGGAAAGCCTTGTGATTACTCAGACGTGGTCAGCTGTCTCTCTGTCTTAGTTGCTTTTCTGTTGCTATGATAAAACTCCATAACCAAGGCAACTTATAGAGGAAAGAGTTTCCTTGAGCCTGTGGTTCCAGAGGGATACGAGCCCACCATGATGAGAGGTCGGGCAGCAAGCAGCAGGCACGGTTTCAGGAGCCCACTGCTGATAGCTCACGTCCTTCGCCACAAGCACAAAGCAGAAAGAGCACGTACTAGCCATGGTGTAGGGTCTAGCTCCGGTGGCACAGTTTTTCCAACAAGGCCACACCTCCTAAATCTTCCCAAACAATGCCACAAACTGTGACTCAAGTGTTCAAAACACCTGAGCCGCCGGGCAGTGGTGGTGCACGCCTTCAATCCCAGCACTTGGGAGGCAGAGGCAGGCAGATTTCTGAGTTCGAGGCCAGCCTGGTCTACAGAGTGAGTTCCAGGACAGCCAGGGCTACACAGAGAAACCCTGTCTTGAAAAACCAAAACCAAAACCAAAAAAAAAAAAACCAAAAACCTGAGCCTATGGGGAGATTTCTCATTCAAACCACTACCCATGCCTTCTTATATATATGCATATACATACATACATACAAACATACATGTGTGTATGTGTGTATGCTTTTTTAGCCTAATATGCTTCCTTTCTCAACTATTTGCTCCTAGCCTCTATTTGCCCACCATCTCTGAGTTCCATGAAGGCAGGGACCCAGTCTGTTTTGCTCAATGCTATACTCCCCAGCACCTGGAATAGCGCCCCAGAGGCACTGAAGGTTATAGGCATATTTGTTGAATGAAGCAACGAGAGGCCTGCAAAACCACTACAGTACTGGAATCCCTCTTCCTCCCTCCATCCATTTAACAAACAACTACATTTTTTTTTTAAAAAAATTAAAGGTATCTGGGTAGGGGGCGGGGTTGCACAGTGTAGGTGCCCGCTGAGGCCAGAAAAGGGCATTAGGTTCTCTAAACCTGGAGTTTTAGGTGGTTATGAGATGTGGGCGCCAGCCCCAAGTTTGGATCCTCTGCAAGAGCAGTATACATCTGTAACTGCTGAGCCGTTACGCTCATTCCACACCAGCCTTTTCAGTAACCGTGTCAAACATACTATGACCACTGTGCCATGCTGTCTTGTGCAGGAGAAGAATCACATGCTCACCCATTGTTAATGTTGCCTCTGAAAAACAAAAATGATGATCCTCTGGGATGCTACAAAATTCTCCACAAAACTCCCCAAGGTGCAGATCAGCTCGCTACCTTTGGAGGAAAACATCAGCAAAGACAGTGTTACACAGCTATAAATGGGGGCTAGAGAGATAGATGGCTCAGAGGTTAAGAGTACCGGCCACTCTTCCAAAGGACCTGGGTTCAATTCCCAGCATCCATGTGGCAGGTTACAATTGTCTGTAACTATAATTACCAGGGGATCTGACAACCTTACCCAGACGTACATACAGGAGGCAAAAGACGAATGCAAATAAAATAAATAAATCATTTTTTTAAGTTGTAATTGAAACATTCAAGCATGTATCGAGTGTCAACTGTGTACACAACTGTGGTATGTAATTATCATGTATAATGTATGAGATGAGAGATGGAAGGATTGAAAGTAGCTGAGCTTAATTAAACATCTTGCCCCATAGAGGATACACACCTAGCACATAATAGCTGTTCACTAAGTATCATTGTGAATGAATAGAAGGTGTCTTAGGGTTTCTATTGCTGTGAACAGACACCATGACCAAGGCAATGCTTATAAAGGACAACATTAAACTGGGGCTAGCTTACAGTTTCAGAGGTTCAGTCCACTATCATCAAGGCAGGAAGCACTGTAGCATCCAGGCAGTCACTGAAAGATCTGATAGTGCTACATCTTCCTTCAAAGCCAAACAGAAGACTATCTCACAGGCAGCTAGGAGGAAAATCTCAAAGCCCATCCTCACATCGGCATACTTCCTTCAAACAAAAGCCACACCTCCTAATAGCGCCACTCCCTGGGCCAAGCACATTCAAACCACCACATGCAGAAACCAATACATAGAAAATGATAGGATTCGATCCTAGGCATCCTGGCTCCAAAGCATCTGGGCTTTTATTATATTCCAAGTAGTTTGGAATCCTCGGGATCATATTAGAAAAATACCTAATGTTGGGTTCTGAATCTGTGTATCTACTGCTCTAGACCTTCTCAGATGGACAAGTGGCACTTAAGGTCTCAGGCCTGCCTTAGACATGATTAAGCCCACTGCAAGACAGTGAGCTCCTTCTCATCCTGGTCCACCCCTCTCCCTCCAACAACCCAGGCTTGGATTAGCTGATGACGAGGCCTGCAAAAGTTGGGCTCTGCTGTGCACATCTTTAATCCCAGCACTCGGAAGGCAGAGAAAAGTGGATCTCTGTGAGTTTGAGGCTGGCCTAGTCTACATAGTAAATTCTAGGACAGCCAGGGCTATGTTGAGAGACCCTGTCTCAGACAAAACAACAGAAAAAGAGGCCTACAGACGATTGTGATGTGGGAGCCGCTCCTGAAATAATTCCTTGTTGTTGAGATATCTGGTCTTTTCCTAACGTACCAGATGATATGCTGGAGAGATGGCTCAGAGGTTAATAGCTGTTCTTCCTGAGGTCCTGAGTTCAATTCCCAGCAACCACATTGAAGCTCACAACCATCTGTAACGGGATGTGGTCTCCTCTTCTGATGTGCCTGAAGACATTGTACTCAGATACATAAAATAAAGAAATAAATCTTTTTTAAAAAAGTACCAGGTGGCGAACGCCTTTAATCCCAGCACTTGGGAGGCAGAGGCAGGTG